GATCTAGTTTCTGCCAGAAGTTCCTCACACCAAACCAAACCTCTTTCAGTCGACTCCCCCCGCTCCTCCCCTTCTCTGACTTTCAGAGAGCTATTTGGAACAAATTGCACTAGACACACACTTTTCCAAACCATTTCTGAGGTCAGTTTTCCCCTGTTCACCTTCCATTCTGCCTTTGCAACACCCATGTAACCTCCCAGAACATACCTGGAACTGAGGACTTTTTGGTTTTTTTCCAAACACTCACTGCTTAAATTTTCTCTCCAAATTAGTTTTGTTTATTGTACATTGAACACAAGTTAATGGCAGTGCTAAGCTTCAAGCCTGACCTGGCTGTCAAAAGGCGCAATCGATACGAAATTCTCCCTTTATCACCCATGAAGGTGCAAGTAAGTTCAGGCAAGCGAACACACGGATCCAAACTCATACAAAACGTGGAGACAAACACCCTATTGGGTCACCTCACCCTCCGGACGTGGAGGTCCCTTTTTCAGTGGAGATAGCGTGAGGGTGCTGTGTTTGCAACCCTCTCGCACAATCCCCTGAAAGAAGCCCTCCACACCCGAGGCTAGAACAGCAGATGACTTCTGCGTGACGTGAGCTGTACATGACCCACTCCAGGAGACACCAGATCTCCCTCCCTTGTGCTCCTGGGGTCACCAGTCAGCCTTGTGCATTGCACTCGTCTTCCACACCTTTCACAAGACAAGGCTACTAAGCAGCTCACTAAGTTCAAGAAGACAAGACGCTATTACTCGCTTACAAGAACAGAGCAAAAAGGGCCACTCACCAGTTTTCCTTCATCTGCATTTTAAAAACAAGCTAGAAACAAGCACGTCTTCCTCCTCTCAAGTTCTGTCTTCAAAAAGGAGTCCTGGTCTGTGGCTCCTTCTCACCTGGAGCGAGGCACGAAGCCAGCTGGGTCACAGCTTGCTCCCAGCATCTCCCAGAGAGCTCATTAGCTCCAGGTGATGCCATGCTTCTCAGGACACCAGTTAATATGTCCACACCCCCACAAGCTCTTTCCCACCTTCGTCTCCCTTCTGAATCACAGAACCACTAGGTTGGAAAGGACCTTCAAGATCATCAAGTTCAACCATTAATCCAGCACCACCATGTTCCCTAAACCATGTCCTGAAGTTCCACATCCACACGTTTTTTGAACACTTCCAGAGATGGTGACGCCACCCCCTCCCTGGGCAGCCTGTTCCAACGCCTGACCACTCTCTCAGTGAAAAAATTTTTCCTAATATCCAATCTAAACCTCCCCTGGCGCAACTTGAGGCCATTTCCTCTCGTCCTAATGCACCAGGGCGTTTCTATCCCTGTGCCATATCAGTTCTGGAGTGTTTGCTAGGATACATGCACGGCCGCGCACATGAATTATCTACTCAAAATGAAGCCCGATTCTTCTGTGCTGTGCCTTGTATCATCGCCTGGAGCAAGTGAACGTGTTTTCCTGCCAGACTGGTACAATTCACAAGCGAAAACAAACATCCAAAGTGCTGGGCAAGAGAGTCGGGCTTCATGGTCCCCAACAGAGAGTAACAAGCCCTCTTGCTTGTACCCACACCTTTAGTTGGGTGCATGCGCAGACAACGAAAAGGAGTATTTGGCTGAAGTGGCTTTTGTTTTTCTTCACGCA